TTAAGTATCATTTTTCTCACCTCACTGCCAGAATAAAGCAATACAATGTTATTAAAGACGTTAGGTTTTAGTTAAATAAAAAAAATGAGAAATATGGCATTTGAGTTTTGAATATTTTGGCCTTTTTCTTCAAAATTTTTGATTTGCTCAGAACCTTAACAACCCTTACACATGGATCCTCCCTGAACATAGCCATATCTTGGATGTTTCTGTTTGCTTTTCATATTCCTTTACAGTAGGTGGTGGTTCATCGGGTATAGTGCTCCAATGATGTTTTTTTACCTTGTTTGGTGCTATGTTAATAAGATGTTGAAAAGATTCAGAGCCTAGATATTGATGTGATTCTGCTGGTGCCCAGCATTCTAGTCTCTGTTTTTCACTACATCTGTCCTGCATATATTTCATGCAATTGCTTAGCTATTTCAGCATTCAGACTTAGAATTTAAGCTTTCTTTATTTTATTTATTTATTTTTTTTCAACAAGTTGGCCGTCTCCCCCCAAGGCAGGGTGACCCAAAAAGAAAATCCCCAAAAAGAGAATACTTTCATCATCATTCAACACTTTCACCTCACTCACAAATAATCACTGTCTTTGCAGAGGTGCCCAGATACAACAGTTTAGAAGCATATATAACATACCCCTCCAAACTGCCATTATCCCAAACCCCTCCTTTAAAGTGCAGCCATTGTACTTCCCATTTCCAGTACTCAAGTCCGGCTATACAAAAATAACCGGTTTCCTTGAATCCCTTCACTATATATTACCCTGCTCGCACTTCAACAGCTTGTCAGGTCTCAAAAACCATTCATCTTCATTCACTCCTGTCTAACACGCAAACACATGCTTGCTGAAAGTCCGAGCCCCGAGCCCACAAAACCACCTTTACCCCCTCCCTCCAACCTTTTTGAGGATGACCCCTACCCCGCCTTCTTTCCCCTACAGATTTATACATTCTCCATGTCATTCTACTTTAATCCATTCTCTCTAAATGACCAAACCACTTCAACAACCCCTCTTCACCCCTCTGACTAATACTTTTAGTAACTCCACATCTAATTTCCACACTCCGAATTTTCTGCATAATATTTACACCACACATTGCCCTTAGACAGGACATCTCCACTGCCTCCAGCCGCCTCCTCGCTGCAGCATTTGCAGCCCAAGCTTCACACCCATATAAGAGTGCTGGTACCACTATACTTTCATACACTCCTTTCTTTGCCTCCATGAATAACGTTTTTTTTCTCTCCACAGATACCTCAAAGCATCACTCACCTTTTCATCAATTCTGTGGTTAACCTCATCCTTCATAAACCCATCCACTGATAAGTCAACTCCCAAATATCTGAAAACATTCACTTCTTCTATACTCCTCTCCGATGTGATATCCAATTTTTCTTTATATAAATCATTTGATACCCTCATCACCTTACTCTTATCTGTGTTCACTTTCAACTTTCTACCTTTACACACCCTTCCAAACTCGTCTACTAACCATTGCAACTTTTCTTTAGAATCTCCCATAAGCACAGTATCATCAGCAAAAAGTAACTGTGTCCACTCCCATTTTGTATTTGATTCCCCATAATTTAATCCTTCCCCTCTCCCCAACACCCTAGTATTTACTTCTTTTTCAACCCCATCTATAAATATATTAAACAACCATGGTGACATTACACATCCCTGTCTAAGACCTGCTTTTACTGGGAAGTAATCTCCCTCTCTCCTACAGACCCTAACCTGAGCCTCACTATCCTCATAAAAGCTCTTTACAGCATTTAGTAACTTATTGCCTATTCCATATACTTGCAACATCTGCCACATTGTTCCCATATCCACTCTATCATATGCCTTTTCTAAATCCATAAATGCAATGAAAACTTCCCTACCTTTATCTAAATACTGTTCACATATATTCTTCAATGTAAACACTTGATCTACACATCCCCTACCCACTCTAAGGCCTCCTTGCTCATCTGCAATCCTACTCTCTGTCTAACCTCCAATTCTTTCAATAATAACCCTACCATACACTTTTCCTGGTATACTCAGTAAACTTATTCCCCTATAATTTTTACAATCTCTTTTGTCCCCCTTCCCTTTATATAAAGGAACTATACATGCTCTCTGCCAATCCCTAGGTACCTTTCCCTCTTTCATACATTTATTAAACAAAATTACCAACCACTCCAACACTATATTCCCCCCTGCTTTTAATATTTCTGTCATGATCCCATCAGTTCCATCTTCTTTACCCCCTTTCATTCAACGTAATGCCTCACGCACCACCCCCACACTCACATCCTGCTCTTCTTCACTCCTAAAAGATGTTATATGTCCCTGGCCAGTGCATGAAATTACCGCCTCCCTTTCTTCATCGACATTTAAAAGTTCCTCAAAATATTTCTGCCATCTACCCAATACCTCCAGCTCCTCATCAGTTAACTCCCCTACTCTGTTTTAACTGATAAATCCATTCGTTCCCTAGGCTTTCTTAACTTGTTTAACTCCAAATTTTTTTCTTATTTTCATTAAAATTTCTTGACAGTGCCTCTCCCACTCTATCATATGCTCTCCTTTTGCACTCTCTTCACCTTTCTTTTACTCTCCATATACTCTGCTCTTCTTATAACACTTCTGCTTTGTAAAAACCTCTCATAAGCTATCTTTTTCTCTTTTATCACACCCTTTACTTCAACATTCCACCAATCACTCCTCTTTCCTCCTGCACCCACCCTCCTATAGCCACAAACTTCTGCCCCACATTGTAATACTGTATTTTTAAAACTATTCCAACCCTCTTCAACCCCCCCAGTACTCATACTTGCACTATCCCACCTTTCTGCCAGTAGTTTATATCTCACCCTAACTTCCTCCTCCCTTAGTTTATACACATTCACCTCTCTCTTACTTGCTGTTGCCATTTTCCTTTTGTCCCATCTACCTCTTACTCTAACTGTAGCTACAACTAAATAATGATCCGATATATCAGTTGCCCCTCTATAAACATGTACGTCCTGAAGCCTACCCATCAACCTTCTATCCACCAATACATAATCTAACAAATTACTTTCATTACATGCTGTATCATACCTTGTATACTTATCCTCTTTTTCATAAAATATGCATTACTTATTACCAACCCTCTTTCTACACATAGCTCAATTAAAGGCTCCCCATTTTCATTTACCCCTGGCACCCCAAATTTACCTAGTACTCCTTCCATTACATTTTTACCCACTTTAGCATTGAAATCCCCAACCACAAGTACCCTCACACTTAGTTCAAAGCTCCCCATGCACTCATTCAACATTTCCCAAAATCTTTCTCTCTCCACTACACTTCTCTCTTCTCCAGGTGCATAAACACTTACTGTAATTCACTTTCACATCCAACCCTTATTTTACACCACATAATCCTTGTATTTATATATTTATATTCCATCTTTTCCTGCCATAACTTATCCTTCAACATTATTGCTACTCCTTTTTTAGCTCTAACTCTATTTGAAACTCCTGACCTAATCCCATTTATTTCTCTCCACTGAAACTCTCCCACCCCCTTCAGCTTTGTTTCACTTAAAGCCAGGACATCCAGCTTCTCATTCATAACATCCACAATCATCTCTTTCTTATCATTTGCACAACATCCATGCACATTCAAACATCCCACTTTGACGGTTTTCTTCTTTTTTTTTAGTATGCTATACGGGAAAAGGGGTTACTAGCCCATTGTTCCTGGCATTTTAGTTGACTTTTACAACACACATGGCTTATGGAAGAAAGATTCTTATTCCACTTCCCCATGGATATGAAAGGAAAAACAATAAGAACAAGAACTATTAAGATAAAATCATAGAAAACTCAGATGAGTGTGTATACAATAAACGTGTACATGTGTGTGTAATGTGACCTAAGTGTAAGTAGAATTAGCAAGATGTACTTGAAATCTTGCATGTTTATGAGACAGAAAAAAAACACCAGCAAACCTACCGCCATGTAAAACAAATACGTACAGGCTTCCTTTTTACACTCACTTGGTATGATGGTAGTACCTACCCGAATTGTTGCTGTGTACTAACCTACTACAGTGGAGCCTCTACTTGCGAGCGCATCCATGTGTGTTTTTTTCTAAATAAGAGCAGTCGATCGGTCGATTTTTTGCTTCCATACGAGAGCAAAATTTCCATAAGCGAGCAGACCTCAAGGCAAGTTCCTTGACGCTGGTGAGGGGCTCTTGCTCTTGATCTAGGGAATTGTATCTCATTTGTTTGTTGGACTATCTTATTGGAACTTGGGCAATGTATGATGGAAAGATGGTTCTTAATGTACACCAAAAAAGAAGGAAATCTAAGCATAAATAATGGAGTTCACTTCTCAGCAATTAGCCACCCCTTAGCAGTATTTTCGTATGGTTTTTATGGTTGTATTCTCGTTTCTTTTGTCTCATTTGATAGAATCGAAGATATATTGTTTGTTATGTCATATTAGATGAACTGTGATAGATAAATAAGCCGTATAGATGATATTAGCGAAATTATTCAAGAAGTATTTTGTCCTGTCTCCAGACAAACTCTCGTCATCCACCGCCGCTGCCACATATATGACATATTTTATTCATTTTAGAGTATATATCAGGTTTCTTTGTTATTTATATTGTTTATTATGTCATATTAGATGAAGTGAGATAGATAAATAAGCTGTAGAGTTGATATTAGCGAAATTATTGAAGTACAGAATTCCACTGGAATGGATTAATTGCATTTTAATTAATTTAAATGAGGAAAATCCAGTTGTGAGCCAGGTCATGGAAAGGGTTAAACTCGCAAATAGAGGTTCCACTGTACCTATTTTATATGTTTGTATAAATAAATGCTGGGTCACTCTAAGGGGCTCCCATTAATTTGCAAGTTTAATGTTCAGTGTGAGTGCATGTGTGTGTGTTTGTATAAAGTATATTATTTATATATTTATTTATTTACTTTTCCATTTTATTCCAGGTGTTGGGGGCAAACCTCCCAGCCTACCGCCCCACCTTCTACCTCCAGGTTCTGCTGCTGCAGCTGCTGTAGCAGCAGCAGCTGCAGCAGCCGGGGTGAGCAGTTCAAGCAGCGTCACCAGTAGTAGTTGCAGCAACAGCATTACCATGAGCAGTGATGGAGGTGTGGTACTAAGTAATAAGGGAGTGAGAACTACTGCCACAGTGCCACCTCTTGGGCTAAGCACATCCCTAGCACCACTCACTACAACAGCTGGTGCTAGAGCACCTTCACCTACATCCTCATCTTCCTTTGCAGCAGCTCTGCGCTCTCTGGCTAAACAAGCCACAGCTCCCCCTGGTTAGTTCATTATATTTAAATTAACCTTAATTGTAAATATTTTGGCTTTACAAACATTAAGAAGATAAGACCATAAGAATGGAGGAACACTGCAGAAGGCCTACTGGCCCATACAAGGCAGGTCCTTATCAAAATGACCTCTACCCAAAGTTACCCAAGAATTTACTCCCATACCCAATGACACAAATCAAACCCAGCCCCTCACACTCATATATTTGTCCAATCTCTTTTTAACCCTTTCAGGGTTTCCTACGTACTAGTACGGCTTACGCACCAGGGTTATTGACGTACTAGTACTCCTAAATTCTAGCGCCTTCAAATCTAGCAAGAGAAAGCTGGTAGGCCTACATATGAAAGAATGGGTCTATGTGGTCAGTGTGCACAGTATAAAAAAAATCCTGCAGCACACGGTGCATAATGAGGAAAAAAAAAACTGTGTTTTTGGTTTAAAACAGCGACTTTGCACTGTATTGTTGTATGGTATTTATAGTTGTATTCTAGTTTTCCTACTCTCATTTTATAGAATGGAAGACATATTACAGAAATTGTGAAGATTTTGATTGGTTTCACAATGAAAAGGACCTTGAAATTGAGCTCAAAGTAGCAGAAATGTTCGATTTTTGTCAAAGTTCAAAAGTAAACAAATCATGCCATGTGTCCAATACACGACAACTGGTGAGTCTAATATTCTTTCACAAGTGCATTGATATTATTTATACTATTTCTACACTAATGCAGTAGTCTGCATAACAGTAAATCTTCTATTTTTTTGTGAGAATAAAAATTCAAAGTGGAAAGCAAAAGAAATGTAAGAGGGGCATGGGGACATGACTAATGAACAGAGGAAATGTTATTTTAGTGCCAGGAATGTTTGTCTTGTTTATTCTGGACCCTATTTGGAAATTGGCATCTTTTGAAATTTGTGTGAAACTGGCAAAATTGCTAATTTTTGACCCCTTTATTGGATAGTTGAAATCGGTAAATGGGTGGTTTCTTGCACTCATTCGATAGAAAAAAAATGGAGTTCTAGCGAAATAGTTATGATTTTTGTCGACTAGTACACTGGAATTGGCCAAAAATATTGCTCAAAGTGGGCAAAATCGCCAATGTGTAAACATCGTCGAGACCACTAATTTCGCGAGAGCATAATTCCGTAAATTTTCCATCAAATTTCATACTTTTGGTGTCATTATGATCGGGAAAAGATTCTCTATCATTTCATAAGAAAAAGTAATTTTTTTTTCCGAAAAATTTTCGACCTTGAGAAGTTTAGGAGAGGGTTTCTCGACCATGAAAGGGTTAAAGCTCCCCAAAGTTCTAGCCTCATTCACCCTACTGGGAAGATTGTTCCACGCACCCACAACTCTGTTAGAAAACCAGTACTTACCTATGTCCTTTCTAAATCTAAATTTATCCGACTTAAATCTATTAGTCCTGGTTCTTACCTGGTTTGACACCCTGAGTACTTTATTAATATCTCCTTTGTTTATGCCCGTCATCCACTTATACACTTCACTGATATCTCCCCTCATTCTACGCCTCTCCAGAGAGTGGAGATTTAAGGCTTTAAGTCTATCTTTATACAGGAGATTCCTTACACAGTAAATCATTTTAGTCATTCAAAAGTAAATCATTTTAGTCATTCAAAAGTAAATCATTTTAGTCATTCAAAAGTAAATCATTTTAGTCATTCAAAAGTAAATCATTTTAGTCATTCAAAAGTAAATCATTTTAGTCATTCAGAATATAAATACTGTATGTAGTGTATGTAGTGTATGTACATGGTTTATAACCAAGTCTTCTGGTTTATAACCAAGTGTTCTGGTTTATAACCAAGTGTTCTGGTTTATAACCAAGTGTTCTGGTTTATAACCAAGTTTCTGGTTTATAACCAAGTGTTCTGGTTTATAACCAAGTTTCTGGTTTATAACCAATGTTTCTGGTTTATAACCAAGTGTTCTGGTTTATAACCAAGTGTTCTGGTTTATAACCAAGTGTTCTGGTTTATAACCAAGTGTTCTGGTTTATAACCAAGTGTTCTGGTTTATAACCAAGTCTTCTGGTTTATAACCAAGTCTTCTGGTTTATAACCAAGTGTTCTGGTTTATAACCAAGTGTTCTGGTTTATAACCAAGTGTTCTGGTTTATAACCAAGTGTTCTGGTTTATAACCAAGTGTTCTGGTTTATAACCAAGTCTTCTGGTTTATAACCAAGTCTTCTGGTTTATAACCAAGTCTTCTGGTTTATAACCAAGTCTTCTGTTTAATAACCAAGTTTCTGGTTTATAACCAAGTGTTCTGGTTTAAAACCAAGTGTTCTGGTTTAAAAACCAAGTGTTCTGGTTTATAACCAAGTGTTCTGGTTTATAACCAAGTCTTCTGGTTTATAACCAAGTCTTCTGGTTTATAACCAAGTCTTCTGGTTTATAACCAAGTGTTCTGCTTTAAAACCAAGTGTTCTGGTTTATAACCAAGTGTTCTGGTTTATAACCAAGTGTTCTGCTTTAAAACCAAGTGTTCTGGTTTATAACCAAGTGTTCTGGTTTATAACCAAGTGTTCTGCTTTAAAACCAAGTGTTCTGGTTTATAACCAAGTGTTCTGGTTTATAACCAAGTGTTCTGCTTTAAAACCAAGTCTTCTGGTTTATAACCAAGTGTTCTGGTTTATAACCAAGTGTTCTGGTTTATAACCAAGTTTCTGGTTTATAACCAAGTTTCTGGTTTATAACCAAGTGTTCTGGTTTATAACCAAGTGTTCTGGTTTATAACCAAGTGTTCTGGTTTATAACCAAGTGTTCTGGTTTATAACCAAGTCTTCTGGTTTATAACCAAGTCTTCTGGTTTATAACCAAGTGTTCTGGTTTATAACCAAGTGTTCTGGTTTATAACCAAGTCTTCTGGTTTATAACCAAGGTTCTGGTTTATAACCAAGTTTCTGCTTTATAACCAAGTGTTCTGGTTTATAACCAAGTGTTCTGGTTTATAACCAAGTGTTCTGGTTTATAACCAAGTCTTCTGGTTTATAACCAAGTGTTCTGCTTTATAACCAAGTCTTCTGGTTTTAATTTAATAACTACAAGCAGTATTATAATGTTAGTATTATTTAATGTGAATGTTATTTGAATTTTAACCCTTAAACTGTCCAAATGTAGATCTACGTTTTTTCAACATTTGAAAGTATGTATGTATAAAAAGTAGATCTTTTTTTTTTTACACTTGAGAAAGTGTAAAAGAACTTTGATCTCCTTTTTTTTTTTGTTGTTATATTTGAAAATATGTAAAAGAAACATAGATCTACTTTTGGAGCACTACACATGTGAACGTAGATCTGCTTGGACAGTTTAAGGGTTAATTAATGTTATTTATCTTGTTTACCAAAATAAAGGTGATAAATTATATGGTAGTACAGTACTGTAGTTAGATAGTTTTTGACCCCAGTGAGTACTAGTCAGAAGATAACAGATGTACCTGGTGGGTTCACACAACCTGTCAAAGGTATATCAAAGGTATGCAGTGCACTGAACTGCCATTCACACAGGTGTGATTGACGAGTCTTTAGCAAATAATGTGAGATATGATGAACACCTGTCTTTGCAGATACCTTATCAATAAATATATTATAGAATTACTCTTGTATGATAGCATCTTACTCTAAGTATTGAGTAACTCTGCCTACTTCACCACCTTATCTATTTGAACCTTCATAATTCTATTTTCCATTTCATAATTTGGTGACAGTTTAGGCTTGTTTAATTTCCATGGTAATTATACCCAATACAGTCTCTAATCATACTTATTACCTTAAGATAATGACTTTATTTCTTATGTTCTTCAGGGGATGTTTTATTTGTGTCAACTGTGAGCACATTCTATTCTCAAGGTTTATGGGCAGGTTCACTAACTTCCACCAGCTGTTGGTTCTGCTGTGGAGCATGTCCTCTAATAATTTTGGTTACAGTACTTCTACTCTTTCCAATATCTGCTCAAATGAACTATTATTATTCTTCTTTCAATGCACTGGCCATATCCCACCAAGGCAGGGTGGCCCAAAAGCAAAAATAAAAGTTTCTTCTTTTAAATTTAGTAATTTATGCAGGAGAAGGGGTTACTAGCCCCTTGTTCCTGGCATCTTAGTCGACTCTTACAACACGCATGGCTTACGGATGAAGAATTCTGTTCCACTTCCCCATGGAGATGAACTGTTATTATTATTGATATCTATAGTATGTTTTAAGGATCGTGTATCCTGAGGGTCCTCTAAAAAGTTACTTATTCCTTATCGACAGTGGTATTTACAAAGGAACAATGATAACCTCCTGTGAGTAGCTTGATCAGACTAACATTATCACATTAGATACGAATCTGTTGAATATACCTTTGCATACTTCAAGTAATTTACAATACCTTTGGTTCTCATTCCTTGGCAACTATAACTGTAACTGTCTTTTTCTAGTGAAAGTGACTGCATCATATTCTTTAATATGAGAACTCTTTAGAGATAAATTCACTTGCCCTTGTAGGGTCCCTTTCTGAATATTCTTTATGACACTGAGTTAAGCAGTACTTTCATGTAAATTTAATAAAGGCTTGTTCAGAAGTTGGGCTTGTGTGTTCAGCAGAGGACTTTGAACTTACTCACAAAGTAGAGTGGGGCTTGAAACCATGACAAAGCAGCCCTAAAACTAGCAGGCCAGTGTGCTATCCTTGTACTGTGTGAGTATAAAAGGATTTGTCTAATTACAGTAAAACCTCTCATTTATGGACCTCTCATTAATGGATTTCAACAAGATTGGGAAAAAAAATTGGTTGGATAAATGCTCTAATTAGGAGACAAAATGGAGAAAAATGTGTAATTCCTCATTTTGTCTGTAGCAGTAGTGTCTGGTTGTCTTCTGAAGTATCGGGCCAAGTTCACTAACTCAGATGTTTGTTTGATATGGACAAATAAAGAGGAGCTTAAGAACTCCTCTGACTCGCAGCTGTCGATTATGGCAGTTTAC